TAACATGTCCGTTGGTGGCATATTGTGGAAGATTCGAAGGCTTTGCTTCTCAGGATCAGTGAAACTTTGGTTGCCCATCCGCGTTGCCAAGCTAATGGTATTGCACATCGTTCAACACGCTATACTTTTCGCAAGGACTCTAAATTTTGTTCCTGATTCGAGGAACCACCCGATTTCGTTTCGATGTTGTTATCTAAATGTAATTAATCATGGCAATAGGTGAGGCGCAGATGCAATGGGTTTCGATCAACAAATTTTAGACTGAATTGTAATTACATCATAGCCAACCCACAAGTACAACTGAGTAGGCCCATCAGGCCCAACTTAAGGGCCGACTGGTGTAAACGAAAGAAAAGGATGAAAAGGGTTCACTGTAATCACATGCTTCCAAACACACCACCACAACCATCACATGGTGGTCAGTAGTTGAAATTGAGTTTCAGGTCCGTATTTCACATGATATGTTTTGGGTTTGGTTTATAGCGTTGGTAGATCAAACAATTGTGACTAGGAGAATGCTGAAATGTATCTAAGTCTTTCCAGCTCCTACAAGAGTAGATTGTCGTAACAAAGCCACCAGTTGGACCCATTTAAAGGGAATAAAAAACATCCCACCACTTTTCTCATCACATTTTCTAGTTTCTTCTACTGGTGATCACTAGAAGTTTCCACTATTAAGATTTTTTTTAAACCACTCAATTTGTTGTAGGAGGTTTTCCGTCGATCTCAAGTAAATAACAGTAACAATGTATATATTTATGATAACTTCAATATTTAGCAAGATAGTAACTTATTGCGGCGCTATGAGTGCATCGTGGACGTTTTTGTAAATTTAGTCTGTTTACCAATAAAACTTTAAGCTTTGACATGAAAATATATGGGCTGCGTGCTATGCATGTATGCCAAACGACATCGTAGGTAAGCAGTGACTTCACCTTGCGAAATGTACCTATTCACTACTTTAACACTTGTCTTTTCATGCCTATTGTTTTGGATAATTGTTTAAACAAGTGATTAACCACATATTAACTGATATTCTTATGTCTGGCTTTAAAAAAATAAATGTAATTAATCTTAAATAGTTGCTAAACAACATCTGCTTTTGGGGTGTCCCTTTATGTAGGGTAGTTTAGCAACATCCAAAATGCAAAACACGATTTGAATGACATGTCATCGTCCCCACCTCCGGAGAAATATGTATTTAACACTGAAAATTATTACTGATCTTATTTATATTATAACAAGTGATTATAATTTTATATATTAAAACATAAGTCTTTCCTCATCTCTATTGTATCAGACCAATTAATTATACCGCACCGCGTGACTGTGCTCAATGTTTTTTTTGTAACTCATGGGTGTCAAGAGACTCTCTGCTTGTACATGTCCGTTATCTTCTTTTATAATGTCAAACTCTACGTCTCTAGTCTACTCTTACTTATCATTCTACTCACCTTAATCGTCGAGCTAATCCCAGTAACTAATCCCACTTCTTGTTAGCCACAAAGCAACTTATTAATCATTTTGTTTTAATTAGAATTAAGAGGAAATGTAGATAAACTCAAAGGGTAGGCCAGTCCTCACCTTGTTGAGTGTCCTTATTTTTTAGTGCAGTTGCCAAAAGGCAGCAACCGTCATGGCCTTTAAGTAGGCCATATGGCAGACCGAATCCTACACACCTCCACGTAAAACTCTTAGGCGATAAGGCATTTATTTCTTTTAAGGCTGAAGAAGCTATCTACACTTTTATTTTTATTTTCACATATTTTTTATTAATTTCTGTTATTTGATTTTTTTTTAATTTATTCGATCAAACGGACAAAGGTGCTGATAACACCACCCTTCTTTTAAGTAACAAATTCACATTACTCTTAAAGTTTGATTATTCACATATTCAACAAAATATAACCCCACATAACAAGACCAAAATAACTCACATCTGTTGACCACGTTGTTCTAAATTATAATATCTGTAACAAACTGTTCTAGTGATGTGATATTTTCTTTAACACACTGCGTTTCAAATACAAATTATTTCCACTTCTCCATTAGTTTAATGTAATATTAATTGTGATATTAACCCTTCAGTAGGTCAGTAATCCAGATGCTTTGCATATGTTCTTGTTGCTTTTTAGCAAGCGCGAGAGCCAACCATCCCAGAAAAGTCGTCTAAATGGAGGTGTCAAATTCAAACAGGTAGTCAAAAGGTATTTCCAGAAAGTACAAGTGCGTGACACAAATTATATTCCAGGTCAAACGTAAAATTTGTAATACGAACGACGAATTAGAAAACTGTTGAGTGTTGAGTTAGTACACGACAATTTATGGGTCTTTTGTGCAATTAACTTAGCATATTCCAAGTGGTTTAGGATATTGTGGCTGCTAAAACGTGTACATTGAATTAGAAAGTAGGATTTGACATACAGATTTACTAGTTTGTACTTTAGACGATGAAGTTGAAACACACAAACAAGGGATATATACGATGACGTACTTTAACAATCTATGAATTTTAAATGCGACGAGTCACTTAAATTTACATGATCGTTAGTAAGATTGTTTTTTATTTTATTCAAGAATGCTAAGTGGAATGTCACACTATCAAACTATATCAAACAATCATGCCACGTCATCTAGTTATTTTTACATCCAAGACATAAAAAAAACTTACAAATGATACTAACACTACATATTCAAGCGCCATTCACTCACCTACGATCCAACCTAATGAGTCTTGGCCTGACAACTACGTGGTACGGGCGTCCAATTAAGAAGGCCTCTCGTAAAGTGAACCAAATTTAACTTTAATTCTTGAACCAAACTAATGTGGTAGTAATTAGATACTGTCTCAAAGTAAGATTTTTTATGGACTAACTGTCACTTCACAGTTTAACGTCAATTCCCGTACCAACATTATAAAACGAGAAATGCTAAGGAGACTCTCTCAAAGTGAGATTCCCATGAACTCTCTACCACCTCACGGTTTTTGACATAATATTTTATAATGTTGGCATGAAAATGGACGTTAAACTGTGAGGTGACAGAAAATCTATGGAAAACCCCATTTTGAAAGAGTCTCTTAAGCATTTCTCTTATAAAACAATGTGCCAAAAATATAAGATGAAATATATGTTAAGTTAATGCGCACATGAGATAATTTTATTTCTGTGATTCTAGTGTGCTCATTAGGTGAATGAGAAAATTAATGCACACATGAAATACCAATCAAAGTTTTATGCTTCACAAACCACAAGCTAACTAAAGTAATGTGATATAAGAATTTTTGTAGCAATCAGATTACAAACCCCAATTAAAGGCAAAGATTTCCCCAACATTTACAAATGGTGTGCCTAAAATTAGGCATGCACAAAAGACCATCACGCACAGTCTATGTGCACCACTAGTTAAGCACAGTTAATCTCCACCACACTAACTAAACCACCCACGCGTGATTAGACCCTTAATCACCCCTAATTAATCAATGACGGTGGTGCTTTGACTGAGATTTCAAGTTGCCAACTTCCAATTGGATAAACCCATGTCTGAAATTATCAACTAATACAATGTGTGAAGGAATCGAAAGTACCAGGAAATGTCGCTGCGGTTCCTTGAATGTGGGGAGCAAATACGACGTCGGCTGCTTTCTGATTGGAAATTGGAAATTAGATTGGACCCGACCGCGTTTACTCATCTTTTCCAATCTTATAAAGTAACAAAGTAACAAATTTTAATTATCCTAATTTATGCTACAGACATTCGAAATTGAGTGCAGTGTATATTTTATAATGTTCTAATCGACTAGCTTAGTTTATATATATATATATATATATATAATATATATATATATATATTTTATAACAAACGATGTCTACATTAAAAGAGTAGCGAAGTAGACTAAGCTCCCACAATAGACTAACAATATATAGTTTAAATTTATGCTACAATGATTCGAAATTGAGTGCGAGTGTATATTTATAATGTTCTAATCGAATGGTTTAGTTTTTTTTTAACAAACGACGTCTACATTAAGAGAGTAGGGGAAGTGAATTAAGCTTCACAATAGATTAGCAATAATATGGTTTAAATTCGCATTCAACGAGAAATCTCATGCTTACAAATAAAAAAGAATATCACTAAACTGTAGTACTAATGATATATCGAATGACTTAGTTATATTTATTATTTTGTAAATTGCATCTATTATAAGACAATCGAAACGACTTAAGGAACCAAAACTAAAACAGACAAAACTCACAAAATTGTTTATACATCCCAAAATAAGGAAATGAATCCTTTTCGAATCTCTTACTTCTAATCCACCAAGTTCAGGAATCCGGATAGTTGAAATTTGATTCAACGGCTAAAGTTATTATAACTTTTAAAGTGAGCTCCTGTTTGTAATTATTGGATCAAATTTTAATGATCAAGATTCCCGAATTTGATGAATTAAGATGCAGAGATATGAAGATGATCAATTTTCCCTAAAATAAAGCATGAAACGTACTAAAACATGATACTCGGTACAACTGAAACCCCAAAACAACACGTAAACCCGGACCCCGTTTGTTTCAGAAATTAGAAGATTTAGAAAGTGGCCACTCTCTCTAGACCCTTGACTTTGAAACCGTCTTCGGTATTTGGGCCAGTCTTCTGTAGTTAAAAGGTTAAATAAAAACCGAGCCCAGTTGAGGGCCCACACACCCAGTAGCCAGTAGGCACCCCTTCCGTTCTTTGACCCACTCCAGTCCTCCTTGGCCACCAAGAAAACTCAACCCCCCACCCCACCCAAAATCTAAACGTGGTAAATTTCGTTGCCCTCAAGTCTCTCTTTTATTTCCCAAATAATTAAAAAAAAGGAGGATATTTAATTTTAAAACTGACACTTGTCCAGACACCACTAATTCCTCCCGCTTGTCCCGCACCTTCCCCTCCCTTCCTCGTCGCTTTATATACCCCCTTCCCCTACTTCTCACTCTCACTTCCAACTCTCAACTCTCTCACCTCTCCATCCTCTCTCTCTCTCTCTCTCTCTCTCAAAACAAAAGACAGAATCTCTCAAATTTTCATCAGCAAGCATCAGATGGCTCTGCAAGCTCTCAACTCGCCAACACACGCCGGATCGTCTCCTTTCCAGCTCGAGACCAAGACCTCGAGCTTCAGCTATGTCGAGCCGTGGACCAAACGCAAGCGTTCCAAGCGTCCACGCCTCGACACCCCTCATACCGAGGAGGAGTACCTCGCTCTCTGCCTCATCATGCTCGCCCGCGGTAATAGAGATGGAGACCTCGCCGCTACCACAGCCACTAAAGCAACAGCCTCCGCTGCCTCACACCAGATCATCACTCAATCCCCTTCTATGGAGCTCTCCACGTCAACAGCGCCGCCGGCTAACCTGAGCTACAAGTGCTCTGTTTGCGACAAGAGCTTCTCTTCTTACCAGGCCCTCGGAGGACACAAGGCCAGCCACCGAAAAGGCTCTGCTGCCGGATCGGCCGTCGAGGGCCCGTCCACGTCCTCAAACACCACAAACTCCCGCCACCACCACCGCCATCCCTTCGGGAAGGTCCCACGAGTGCTCCATATGCCACAAGTCTTTCCCCACCGGTCAAGCCTTGGGCGGCCACAAGCGCTGCCACTACGATGGCGGCGCCGCAGGATCCACCGCTACCACAAGCGCTATAACTTCCTCTGAGGGAGTCGGGTCAACTTCTCACGCGGTCAGCCACGGCCACCCCCGAGAGACGTTTGACCTGAACCTGCCGGCGCTGCCCGAGTTCTCCCGCGACTTCTTCGTCTCCGGTGAGGAGGAGGTGGAGAGCCCCCACCCGACGAACAAGCCCAGGCTTCTGCTGATAGTGAAGCCCAAAATGGAGATTCCACAGGACCAACAAAATTAGGACGACGATTCAGACCGACTCTGCGAATCAGTTCCCGTAGGCATTAAATTAGGACTTAAATATTTGAATTAATATTCGGCGTGTAATTTTCTTTAGTGGATTTGGATTATTTTATTCATGTATAAACATGCTGTGGAAGTAATTGGAATATTCAATTTTTTTTTTTTCTTCCGAAATTTCTATTTGCGCTGCGGATGTTATTCATTTTTATTAATTTTGTGGCGCGTTATATACGTTTTTGGATAGGCGGCGCAACCTTGTCGGCGTGAGTTGGTGGTGGCAGAGAGCCAGAGAAGACCCACTTGCGCATATTGGTTTTGCATTTGGATAGAAATGGCAGAGTGCGTGTTTCTGTGACGGTTTTTAACTGTAAAATGTTCTACACACATTTCACACTCAAATCGTAGTGCTCACTGCTCACTGCTCACTGCTCACTGTCCAGCTACAGTAGTTCACGCGTAAATTCCAATTCGTCTCTCTGAACTTTGAACTTGAACACGAGCTAATTTACTCTCGTCACTAAATTTACCCTATTTTTTGTCATTCCTATTCGTCCCTCTGAATTTCTAACACGAGCTAATTTACTCTCCGTCGCTAAATTTACCTTATTTTTGTGATGTTTATATAAATATAAGCAATGCTCTTTGAACGGATGAAAATAACTCTCAATTTAAAAAATAAAAAAAAAACTTGTCAAATTTGAACTAACCGACACGTTTTGGAAGACTAACAAACTCGTAATGAGAGATGGAACGTTCATGAGCGAATTAGAAGAAGGTTCGATATCAAGTGGATGAGTCAAACAAATAAATGTCAAGTGGCAGTACCAAAATTTTCCTTTTCTTCAATTCCTTATTATCAAGGGTATTTTACTCCATTTACACAAAAAGGGCGAAGTTGTACATAGTCATAAAAATTAGGTACTGATTCTACCAAATATGTTATTTTATGAATCAAACTCAAAGATGTAGCTGTTTCATTTTTTTAAGAAAAATATAAGAAAAATACTTTTTAGACCATATTTTATGAATTACATAATGTTGTAGTTCATGGTTAAATTACTACTTATTTGTACTATCTCTCTAATAAAGCTAGGATTCACATGTTTTGGTGAACTTTAACAAAGGTAAGGTTAGAAAGATGATACAAATAATGATACAACTAGATAATAAGTATAACATCACTCGAATTGCATTTTTAAAAATAAAATAAAAAATCACTCATTCACCGTCATATCATATAATCTGCTAGATATGATGTATAGAAATCATTAACACCCTTTTCAAATTGTTAGTAATGTAAAGGTTGCGAGTGGGGACTGACGGGGAAGAGATCAACAAAGGAAAAAACTAGGGATTGGATAAGAAGAAGGATAGAAGTTGGGGGAAGGTGGGGGCTTCGGATGTGCTCGCGTGTGGAACTCGTGGAATAGATTTGGATGCCAGGTGGACCTTACCTTACCTAAAATGCCTTCTCTTTTTTATTATATTTTTCAAATCCGGATTATCGTCGTTTCTTCTTTGTAAGGATTTCGGAAATCTGTTAATTATATTCGTTCATTATATATCATGCAGTCAGAAATTATTATAAATATTTTATTTAAAATTAAATATAAATAATATCCAATAAAAATTGACTGTACGATATACAATAAACGTACACGATTTACAAATACGTAGGATCCACATCAAAAGAATCCGGAAGGAGGTTCTGTTGGATATTTTTCTTGGACTTGGATTGTCTGCCCTCCCATTTAGGTGCCCTTCCCGTGCCCTCCTGTTTTGTGTGGTCACGGTTAAGCCACGTCAATATTTTATATTATTTTTTTATAAAAATAATAAAATAAAAATAAATAGTAATATAAAATGTTGACGTGGCTTAACCGTGACCACAAAAACATGAGGGCACGAGGAGAGCACAGAAATTTTCTTCCCAAATTTTCAGATAATACATCACAGAGTGACACCTGTTACGGTAAATGCCAGCAGAACTGCCACGACCACCGCCATACCTACAGACGTCACCTCTTGACGCGTTTACCATGTGTTTAAAAAAGTAAACATTATTTGCCGCGTTGCCATGCCTAAATCCAATGTTTTATTTTTCTGGTAATTAAAAAATAAAATAAATATATATATATATATTTTATAAATGTTAGAATGTTTCTTATTGTAACTGCAAATAACAAGTGACCAAGTTGGCCACATTCATCTGTATATATTATATCTTTATTTATTATGTTATATTTAGTTAGTTGCCAACTTCCCCTTGCTGTGGCGCGATCTGGCGCTTCCTGGTTGTGCCCTTAAATATACGGGGTATGCCTTGCCTAGGTGCAATGCAACTTTGGGGGTATCTGACTTTTTATACATTCAAAACTACCAAAAGTCATAAAACCCAATTGTCAACGGGAAACAGGATGTAAGCGGCCATTTTTTTATGGTTCTCTCCTCTTTTTTCCATTTTTTTATCTTCTCACTTGTTTGAACTATTACGATTAAATCAAATCAATATTAAGATGTTGACTTCTTTATAAAATGAAAAGTAGGTGGTCGTGCAAAGACACAGTGGAAAGTGTGGGAGAAGGGAAGAGAAGGGGAGGAAAAAGAATCGGAGAAGAGAGAATCCTACTCCGTTTCTTGTTGTGATTGCAATGAGATACATTTACACTGATATGAAAATACGCCTAATTGTCAAGAGGTGTGACTTTAAGAAACATGACAGAAGTTCTTGTGTGATCATCAATCTAACAGAAGGCATTGTTAGGAACCTTATTTTTTAGGAAACTTTAACGAAAAGCTCATGATACTGTTCACTTTAACGAAAAACCACATTTTTACACTAAAAAATCAATCCTGATATTATTCACTTTACCCTTTATTTTTGTCCTTATCGTTAAAACTCAAAGTTTTCAAACCCCGTTCATTAGTTTTCCTTATTTTCTATGTACATATGTGGCAGACATTAATTTGCACATAAAGATTAATGACGCCTTACTGGTTTTTCGAATTCTCTCTTTTTGAAAGGACGAACGTGACATTCTTCGCGACTAACGTCCCTACTGATCGATCCAATTGGAGAAGAGCATATACAATGAATGTACCTAAGATAAAAAAGATAAAATACCACTTGCGTACAGTGTTGGCCTAATTAAGCCAAAACTTTTTCAACCCAACTTAAATTATACGCTGCTTAACTTAAGGAACTAACCGACCAAGGCAAATAACCGTAGTTTTGAACATGTTCTCTGCTCAACAGAGGGGAATATGATGGAGAATCAGGAGTATGGGTTACAAACGACAAGTAGCATTTGCGTGTGGGAGGAGAAGATATATATATATATATATATATATTTTTTTTTTTTTTGGAAGCAGTAGGAGAAGATATATTTGGATATTAATTTACAACATTATTTCAGTACTCATAATCTAATTATATATAATAACTGATGTCGCATACTGGTATTAAGGAATAATGTATGAAGCTCTCAGTCAACTTGCTAGTCACTAGTAAGTAAATATAATACTAGTGGCGGATCCATGCATGGACCCGGGCAGTCTTGGATTACCTAGAGTTTGAAGAAGCACTTGTGAGGACATACAAGGACCACCCAACGATCTGGACAAATGGTGAAAGAAAGAATACTATGGTTGTGCAAATATTGTGCAATAGAAGCTCTGAATTAAGAAAAAAGATCTAATTTCAGACAAAGAAGAACACAAATGAAAAGCGCCTAGGTTACCTTATTTAGAATCACACGATGTTAGAATCCTGATCCATCACGGTATAATACTACACTTGTATATCTCCCCTTACCCAAAAAAAACGGTCCGATTCGATTTAATTTACATCTGAAAATGCAACCGAACCAATGCTAACTTACTGTTGAAACTAGTAAAAGCCAACTTACATGTTTGGATAGGTTTCATTTGGCCGGTTGGACAATTTAGACGATATTTTACATGTCCAATAAGTTTTCTAACTTATGATAGTGGGGATTGCAAAAAATTATATAAAAAGTTAAAATATTGATCCATCAACTAGGATTTGGATCCTATCCAGATCCAAATTGTGGGGATCCTAGTATCCTCATATCTTAATTATTCATTGTACATTGTGCGGTAATAAATTATTTGATTTTTTTATTTAAATTTAAACACAAATAGTACTTGACGAAAACTGACCGCACGATGTACAATAAATAATTTAGATTTAGAAATTCTTAAGATCTCCACAAATTAGATCAAGAGATAATCCTCTTCCCATCAACTAACTCGGCAAAGGCCCCACTCCACTTCTAAAAAACCCTAAACTCGTTGTGGCTCTTATCTCTTGCTCATGCAGTGTAGAGTTCAACTTCAACAGAACATGTCCACTTCATCACGCGAGAGGTGATGAATTAATAATTTGCTAGCTAGCTCAGCTAATTGCTATCCCAATGATTTATTAGTTGGTCGGCTAACCTACCAGGCAACTACACCCAAGTAGACCCCCTTTTGCTACTCTTCAATATCGAATGGAATTTTTTTTTTTAAATGAGACTATCTAGCATTTCATGTTTTTGGCCTAATATTTTATAATATTGATATAGAAATTCACGTTAAAATATGAGGTGCTGAAGAATCTACGAAGAGTTCCACTTTTAATAGAATCTCATTAGCATTTCTTTTAGGATATGACATTGAAGTTTACTATGTCAACCTAATAATAATGCTTTCTTTCTCTTTTTTATTTATTTTTTTTATCAGATAATAATAATGCTTTCAAATGTGGTGGCTGTGGAGTGTGAAGCTCACTAATTGTCAATTTTTCATAAAGTCCAAGATTTAAGGTTTTTTTTTTTTTCCAGATACTTTTTTGACAGGTCGTTGCACATGATAATACGTCACAAACATTCTTAACTTAATACATAACTCACTACAATTATACATATACATGGACAATAATTCGCGTGTTTTCTTGAATATAGGCATTCTTACATTCCCGTCATTCACAGTTTGACATGTAGGACTCAGAAGTCAAACAATGTGAAATTGTCACAATGATTCCTCAATTTTAACCCACTTGAAGCAATGGTCATTCAACTAAAAATTTGTGACCATTGTCTTTTAATTCATCAAAACGTGCAACTATAGTCATTTTCGTTAGCTCTGTAAGAACATTCGTCAAAATGAGTCATGTTGGAAAAACCATTGTTATAATTAGGTTAAAGTTGATAGACCATTGCGCCAATTGAGATAAAAATGAGAGACCATTTCTCCAATTAGGTTAAAGTTGAGAGACTATTGCTACAATTTTCTTATTTAGTTTTTCATATTGCCCCTTAATCCAGCCTTACGTGTGTGACACATGACTTATTTTTATAAAAATTCTAACGGAGTTGACGAAAAATACTATAACTACACAAGATAAATTAAGGGACCATTAGGCACAAATTTCTAGTTGGGGAATCATTTATTCAATTAGGTTAAAGTTAAGAGATCATTACTACAATTTTCTCCTCTATATTACCCTCACACACTACTAGAAAACCAGTTATTAGTGGCGTTTTGAAAACCGACAAAAAACATATATTACTGTCGAATTTTAAGCCAAATCCGACAGAAAATAGCCGCAGTGGCGGATATAATAAGCGACAGAATTGCCTGCGTCAGGAAATTAATTTTCCGACAGAAAATGCTCTAAAACCGATAGAAATTGTGTCGGATATAACCGACAGAAATTCTGTCGGCTGAAACCGACACAAATTGCTTAAACCATTCGACAGATAATGAATTAATAATGAATAAATAAAACCATTTCCTGTCGGATTTAACCGACAGGAATAAATTAATAATTAATAAATCAAAACATTTTCTGTCGGATAAATCCGACAGTAATGCTATTAACAAGAAAAAAATTATATAAATCACCTTCTTTGTCGGGTACATTATTACGAAAACAGCAGCTAAAATGGTTTTGAGAAGATGTTCACACCACACAGTTTGTATTTGTCTAATTTAGCTACATACTATGTAGCTTATTCGAGAAGGAGTTGTTTAGCAAAGTACAGACAATTGACTACTACACTATAGTTTTGAAGGTTAAAGGAATAGAACATATGCCGATCGGTTTCTTCTACTTTGAAGAATATATGAGCAATCCTGCAACAATCGGAAATCCAGTTGCAATGCAGAAATTCTATGCTGACACTGATATTTTATTATTCTCGTCTTATGGAAATTCTGTTGATATTACGGGACCAACTGTGACAGAGCTTGCAATTGATGCTGCTAAACTTATAGGAGCAGAAGTTATGGAGGTGATTCTCCAACGACGATTTAAGTATTTTCCTCACGTTGGCAGCCAAGGTACGCCAATGATTTGCTTTTACGCCATATCTCCCTGCCAATTAGGAATGCTAATTTTAATTATTTCTATACAGAGATGAAGGATGGATTTTATGAGAAATTGGAATCTGAACTTCAAGGCTTCAGGAACACTTACTATGTTGGCGGTCTTATGGCTTTTGAACTTACTATGCAACACTTTTGCTCTCCAGTAATTCCTTCAGAGGGTCTTCAAGGTCACTAAGCTCGTAGCGATCAACGTAAGATTTGAGCTCATAACGCAGTTGAAGAGACTGAAATTTTTTAAAAACGATAACAAAGTCAGTTCATCTCTCATTGACATATAATTTATAGTGGATAAGAAGTCAAATGTTCAACCCAAAAGCAGGTGAAATGGGAAATTGAAACTATGGGACACACAAGTTGTACCTCACATTCAGCCTCCAAGGCTAGTTTGAAAAACCCGAGTGAAATCGAGTGCTTGCCAGCAGCCTCAGACAGCTTAATCTGCTGCAGCCAGTAAGATGGTGAGGCCAGAACATTGAACTTCTTCCGGCTTGTTGGTCTAGAAACATCAGAAGAAGCAGGGGAGTCACTTCTCACAGACCTCCTTGATCTAGCCTCGGAAATGCATGACTGAAGTACCAGAAGTGGAGTTCCCGAATCTGTCTTCCCTCGATGGCTATCTGAAGCACTGGGGAGCTCACGGAGTCACTCAAAACAAGACACTCTATATTTGGAATTGGTTGCAAGTGTTCGAACAGAATAGAAAAGAAGGATAAGGAAATGAGGACAGGAGAATAGAGGAAAGGGAAAAGCACCGGTGCAAGGAAGATCGAGGTGTTTTAAAAATTTAGGTTATTTAATTACTGTCGGTTACAACCGACAGAAGTATTTTTAAAGAATACAAACCGACAGAAAAAAAAAGCGGCAAAATTCCCTTCGAAAATTTTAAATTTTCCCTCAAAATTTTAAATTCCCCCCAAAATTTTGTTACGATTTTAAAAAATAAAATAATTATTATTTGGTTTAATAAATAAATACATAATATGTATTTAAATAGAATATTTTTTTAAAAATTAAATAAATAATTTATTTGTTTCTTTATCACATATTTTATTACATGGATTATTTTCTATTAATTATTTTTATACATATTCTATTTAAATTATTTATTTTATTTAATAGAGAATAAATAGAGAATAATAGAACTTGTATTTAAATAGAATTTGTATTCAAATAGAATATGTATTTAAATAATATCTTTTTACATGTAAAATATGTGATAAAGAAACAAAAAAAGAATTAATAGAGAATAATTTTTAAAATATATAAATAATATGTATTTAAATAGAATATGTTTTTAATAATTAATAAACAAATGAATTATTTAAATTATTATCTATATAGATAATTTTTACACTTTTGGTTTAATAGAGAATAATCCATGTAAAATATGCGATAAAGAAACAAAAAAAGAATTGTACAATGAAAATGTCATCACACAAACTAAATATTGTCTAATCAATACTTGAAAAACATAAATAAAAATTGTCTAATGAATAAATTTGATATTCAATTTAAAATATTTACACTTATACTTAATGGAAGTATAACATTAACTCTAAATGTTTGTTTAATCTACTATTTGATGCGATACGCAATCCACGAAGCATTTTTCAACGATCCAACCGTCAAACTTATTTGTACACACTCCGAGATTGCATACGCAAAAAATCGTAAAAAACAAACATTCACAGATTACGTAACGAAACAAAAGTTTTTGACGGTTATAAACGAAAAATCACAATTTAATGGTTATTTTAGCTCTGATTTTAATGATTTTTTACAGCTACACTCCTCGACCCTATAAGAATGCAATGAATGAATTTGATCTTCAATTTAAAATATTTACACTAGTGGATATCTTATTTTATACTTAATTGAAGTATAACATTAACTCTTAAGTGTTTATTTAATCTACCGTTTTGACGCGATACACATTCTACGAAACTTTTTTCAATGCACATTTTAATGCAAAGTTGAGTGAGGGAATAGAGCCCCATAGGCATACTTATATTTATATGAGTCACTTAGTCATGCTACAAGGTGTTTAATGAAACATTTGGAAATTCAACACCATATTAGTTCACCTACTTGCAAACTGAAAAACTTATTTGGTAATTGTTTTCACTATTTTAAGAAAAATGAAAGCTGAAAACAAAATTGTTACCAAACAAGTTTAAATCATAAACATTTGATAAAGAATGATATCTAGATACAAGAGAATTTGGAAACCTATAAGATTTTCTCTGATGATAGATCTCTAAAATTTAAGACATTAAAATAGAATAACATTATGGAGTTGTTATTGACAATTCAAAATACTTATTGTGCACTCTAACCATATAGAAATACAAGAGAAAAAAAAACACACTTGAAAGAGTGTCACTTACGTAAAAAATCACAAAAAATCACAAAAAACAAACGTTCAGAGATTAGGTAACGGAACAAAAGTTTTCGACGGTTATAAACGAAAAATCACAATTTAACGGTTTTTTTAGCTCTGGTTTTGATGATTTTTTTTACAGCTACACTCCTCGACCCTATAAGAATGCAATGAACAAATTTGATCTTCAATTTAAAATATTTACACTAGTTGATACCACAAAATCTTATTTTATACTTAATAGAAGTATATTATTAACTCTAAGTGTTGGTTTAATCTACTGTTTTGATGTGATACGCATTCTATGAAACGTTTTTCAACAATCCAACCGTCAAACTTGTTTGTACACACTCCAAGATCACATATGTAAAAAATCGTAAAAACAAACATTCAGAGATTAGGTAACAGAACAAAAGTTTTCGATGGTTATAACGAAAATCACAATTTAACAGTTATTTTAGCTCCGATTTTGATGATTTTTTTGCAGCTACACTCATTGATCCTATAAGAATGCAATGAATGAATTCGATCTTCAATTTAAAATATTTACACTAGTGGACAAATCATATTTTAAACTTAATGGAAGTATAACATTAACTCATAAGTGTTTGTTAAATCTATCAATTTGATAGGATATGCATTCTATGAAACTAGTTTCAATGATCCAACCGTCAAATATGTTTGTATATACTCCGAGATCGCATAGCTAAAACGAAAATTTTTTCGACGGTTATAAACAATCACAAAAAACAAACACTCAGAGATTAGGTAACAGAACAAAAGTTTTCGACGGTTATAAACGAAAAATTACAATTTAATGGTTATTTTAGCTCCGATTTTGATTTTTTACAGCTACACTCCTCGACCATATAAGAATGTATTGAACAAATTCGATCTTCAATTTAAAATATTTACACTAGTGGATAATTTTTTATACTTAATGGAAGTATAACATTAACTCATAAGTGTTTGTTACATCTATCAATTTGATAGGATATGCATTCTACGAAACTAGTTTCAACGATTCAATAGTCAAATATGTTTGTATATACTCAGAGATAGCATGTGTAAAAAGTCTAAAAAAAAAACATTCAGAGATTAGGTAACGGGACCGTGAGTGAAAAAAAATATTTAAACCATTTGTTTATTTATTTATTTATTTTTAATCAATATACCTTTTTAAATAATATAATAGTCAAATTTTGTCGGTTATAACCGTTAGAATAATAAAATAATAACCGCCAGAAAATAAAATAATAAAATAGTCAATTTATGTCGGTTATAACCGCCACCATTAACTTAAAAACCGCCAGAATATGTTAAAAATATTAAAAAAAAAAGAATTCAAAAATACTGAGGGTTAAATCCGTCAGGAAAAATCCGCCAGTAATTTCTGACGGATATATCCGACAGAAATTAACTGTAATCCGACAGTAAATAAATTATGTGTCGGATATTTTTTATCCGTCAGAATGGCTTATTAACCGTCAGAATTGTCCGACACCTAAAGCTAATATTGTGGTAGTGACATTATTGTGCGTCAATTTAAATTTTTTTACTTTCTATAAGAATCGAAGGGGTAGAGGTCCAGGGCCGAAGGGGTAGAGGAAAACCTAGGAAAATTTTGGAAAGAAAAGATTTAGAGTACTTATATCTAACAGATGACATGATATAAAACCGAGCGCAATGACGTTCTATGATTCATATAACCGACCCCACTTAATGAAAAAAATGCTTTGTTGTTGTTGTTTGTTGTTTTCTATAAGAATCGAATATCTTTAGACTAACTGGTCATGTATGTCAAATAAAGTATTTTGGTTTGCCCGCTTGATGGCTTTGACTTTTATCTCCAATACGTATTTAGACATGAGCTGATGACCTAATTTTTGACGTGTCATGGGACTGGATTCATGGGTCGTGCGTGTTTAAGGTAATTAATAATCTTGTTGGTGTTGTGGTGTGCTGGGTCAAATTTTGGGAAAGAAAATTAGCCCAGTTCGTACACCTAAGCGTGTATGTTCAAACTGCCAAACGATGGATTATTCCAAGAAGCTTCGTCGGGTCAAGTTCTTTGTATTATCTGATGACTGTAAGGGTAGACTTTTGAATGCGAACCGGCGTTCTTGTTTGGTAGGCGGATCACACCGGTATCTAAACACCCCTCAACCCGGCTCCGTCGTCTCTTGTATGTGTAAGTAGGGTTACTGTCACAGTGAACAATTACTTCGAATCGCATCAAACACGATATATATTAGAAATAGAGAAACGGAAATATCTCACAATTTATCAAGAGTTTTTTACTTCTCACCAACCTAGGAAAAGTATTTATTTACGATCGATACACCACTGTGATGAAATCTCAAACTATTAAAATAAAGGAATTTTAACGAAAAGTTTCTGGTACTGTTTACTTTAACGAAAAATCATATTTTTACACTAAAATATCAATCATGATACTATTCACTTTACCATTTATTTTATATTTATCTTTAAAACTCAAAATTTTCAAGTTTTTTTCATTAGTTTTTCTTTAAAATAAATGATATGTGAAAAAAAAAAGTTAAAGTTTAACCAAGTAACTTTACGTTGTTAATTTAAAATATCATCCTAACATCGTACATTTAAGTATTGAGTAACGTGTCTCCGGGGCTGGAGTCGCAGGACCACTAAGTTAGTGGGTTGTGACTCTTTTGGCAGAGGCGAAAAAATTCTATTGTTACCCTTGCCCACATAGGATGGAACTAGAGATCTTTTCATCTCTGAGATGACACGTGGCTTCTGTATCCACCACCAGAACTGCTTCCCCACTTCGGAATTACCTTCAACAACCAAAATCCATATTTTGTATTTTTATTTTTAGTAATCTGTATGGGGTGAGGTGGATTTACCATGTAAGACTAATTTTTGGTATATAAATTAGTCATGAATGAAAGCAAAGTAATTTGAAATAAAAATAAATAAAGATCAATGGAAAATGATATTTTGATTTGAATATGCATAAAAAAATTATATTCCTTTTCTCGTTTGTTTCTGTGTTTTGGCGTGGGATGTTTGTTTCTGATAAGGAGAACTTTCGGGTGCACTTGATTCTTTTATTTGACTTGTAATTGTAGTATGTGTAATGCTCATTTTTTTTAAAAAAAACTTTTAGTCTAAAGTGTATTGTCACGCGTTTTCCTCGAATTTTTTTTTATTGAAGCCCATTGGAGTAGTGTACTACCCCTAGTTTGATGTTTATGATTGTTAGAAATACTTACTTTTGGTACACTAAAGTAAAAGTGCATTCTATTACAAAAGTACAATAAGGAAACAAGCACTCAAAGTGAGCCATAACAATGTCTAGGCCAAAAATCCAAGATATGGAAACGAGAACCAACCTCCTCCA